GAAGATGTTGACTGCTGAGGTGATTGCGAAAGCCATCGAGGAGAATCTTGTCAAAGGTGATGCGCTCTCCAACATCCCGTCAATATATGCACTGACATGACACTCATTTCATGAAATCAATCATACAGATGGCCCCGCAGCCAAAACACTAAAAGCTTGCCTGCAAGAGGCCCCATCTTCTATGGATGTGGACACTTCAGCAACCAGTGCAGCGAGTCAAGATTTACCAGAAGTTGAAATGTACATCCGACTACTACTTATTCATTTCCTTCTCTCCACGCCTAATACTGCTTCTCGAGAAGCGGCACTCAACTTGGCGAAAGAAAGTGTCGCCAAAATCCAGTCACTGAACCGACGTACGATGGATCCAATCGGAGCGAAAATCTGGTGGGTGTATGGACGAGCATATGAAGTCGTCGAGGGAGTGCAGCTTGCTGCATTGAGACCGTGAGTTCATGCCGAGTACTTGGTGCCACCATGGTCTGATAACTCGTCTCCCAGAGAGCTCCTGGCTGCACAACGCACTTCTGCACTGCGTCGAGACGATGACACGCAAGCTATCTTAATCAACCTCTTACTCCGCAATTACATTCACTATAATCTCTTCTCCCAGGCTGACAAGTTTGTTTCCAAAACAAACTTCCCTCAGTCGGCTGGAAATCCCCAGCTCGCTCGTAATCACTTCTATCTTGGTACGCCACGACCGCCTTATTGACACTCAATTGCTTATGTAGTCTCTAGGACGCATCAAGGCGGTTCAGTTATCCTACACACAGGCACATAATCAGTTTCAGCAAGCCATCAGAAGGGCTCCACCCGCCACAACTGCTCCCGGATTCTATCAATCGGTTCACAAGTTTTTCATTGTTGTCGAACTTTTGATGGGGGAAATTCCCGATCGTCAAATGTTCCGTCACGTGGTACTTGAGAAGCCATTGAAGCCCTATGCTGATATAGTTCGAGGTTGGTAGATCAGAATCAGTCAGGATACTAGTATTCACATGTCCTCTAGCTGTTCGAGCTGGTTCCTTATCCCAATTCCAGACCACCTTACAAGCAAACGCCTCGCAATTCACTGCAGACTGCACCTTAACCCTTCTTTCTCGCCTACGACAAAATGTCATCAAGACAGGTCTCCGGAAACTATCTTTGGCGTATTCTCGCATTTCCTTACGCGATATCTGCTTGAAGTTGCACTTGGAGAGTGAAGAAGATGCCGAGTACGTGGTGGGCAAAGCTATTCGAGATGGTGTGATTGAAGCTAGTATCGTTCACGAGAGAGGATGGATGGTACAAAGGGGATATGAGATTGAAGGCGCGAATGGGGATGGTCCTGGCAGCAAAGCAGCTTTCAACCTCGGTGGAAGGGCCAAGCCAATCGGTGAAGCATTGGTGAGGAGTGAAGTACAAGGCGGTTTGATGAGAGGCTATGGACCCGAAGTTGTGGACGTCTTTGGGAGGAGAATTGCGTTCTGTTTGCAATTGCATAATGAGAGTGTCAGGGTGAGTAGCCAGCTGGTATATCTACTTTCACAATTACTCAAACATATCTTTAGGCTATGCGTTATCCTCTCAATGCGCACCGAAAAGAGCTGGTTAGCGTGCAAGCCGCATTGGAGAGGGAAAAGGAGCTTTCGAGGGAGGTGATGAGGGGTGAACATGATGACGACGACGACGCCCTAGGAGACCTTTAGCTTAATCATCTACCGAGCAATTCCTGTAAACTAAAAACGATGTGTAGGAGATCCGCTTTAAGCAAGGTGACGACACCAGCAACGACAACAGCACCAAAAGCGAGAGCACCACCAGCATTCTTCTTGAGGGCAGTCGCAATAGAGTTAGTGACAGTCGCGGGGGCAGAGGCACTGGCAGTAGCAAAGGGGTTAGACGAGATAGCGGTAGCACGAGTGTCGATTCCAGTGTCCAAGTCAGTTGGAATCCGAGAAGAAGAATCAGGGACAGTAATAGTGGCGATTTGATCAATTACGATGCAACCCGGCTCCCTCCAAAAGACCAATAGGCTTTAGATCACAATGAGGCCATGGAAAATGTAAAACCCATTATTCACAAACTCGCATTATTTCGACATTGATGCCTATGTCATTGGGATGTTTCCACTACTAAGGGGACACTGTCAATATCCAACAGAGAGTCCCAGGTACCCCTCGCCGGCCTTTCTGTAACCACAGGAAGCAGAATTCCCACTTATGGTCCTGATGTGTCACGAGTCCAGTTTACTTCAGTTCTGGATAGATACCGGATCATCTTTTGGAGAGGTGCTCCCTGTATCAGAATTGTGTGAATATTCCCATTCTGGTCATGGAGGATGCACAAGGCTCACATATCTGTCAACCTCTGGGCCCTTAGTTTGCGTGGTTTGAGAAGGTGAGAGGGATCGGGCTAGAGGGGACTCACCACTTCTTCATAACCACATCTGTAGACACATCAGATAAAGGCAAGGAGAGGAACAGAGAACAGATTCTCACTTCGCGTATAATCCTTTGATGTAGATATGTGAGTGCAATGTGATTAATACTGGGCCTTCTGCACCTGGTGAGCTTCCTTGGTTTAGTAAATAGTCATGCGCTGCCAATACGAGGTCCTTTCCGAACTTGAAGTTGCGGTATTCTTCGAGTACACAAAGTCGTCCAAGCTTCTTCTCGGTGGAAGAAAGATGTACCAGACGGACGGTACCGATCGGTTCAAGAGAAGGAACCAGTCTTAGCAATAGATGGGTAGATTTGCCAGTGCCATCGTCTACAGAAATGTATAGCATATTAGGACACCAGAGAAATACTTGATTGACCGAAGGCTCACATTGATCGATCTCCGTGTCAAGTGGAAACTTTTGTTCGTCTACAAACACTGAGATGGGCATGAGCGTGGACACAAGCACGAGATGGGAAATTCGAACCAGTAATTCTCAAGTCTATGCATTGCTTTACGAGATCAGGAGTATCATCATTAACGGGTATGAGCTCGTGTAGAGGAGCGTTTGTCGCTGGCATACTCTTTGCTTGCTGAGGGTTATGGAGCTGAGTCAGGGCAACTAATGAAACGAAGCGAGTCACACAACCTAAAGCCATGTTTTTCGTACAGCCGTTCAACATGGAATCAACACGCGTACACATAGCACTATTGTCTTCCATTCTATAATCTTCCGCGGCCGATGTTGACGCGCAATTTGGATGCTCCTTGACAGTAACATATAACTAAAATTAGTCCTGTATGCTCAAACATTCTTGAATTAGCTTTAGGCAGGCGTAAATTTTTTGGAAGCGCTGGTAAGGTCAAGGTGAGTCCGACCTGCCACGCCGGATCGCAACTTGTCCCCTTTCTTGTATGGCTTTGGTTCAAAAATCGACATGTACGGGTCAATAAAGGTTCTTAATATTACTTGTAATTTCTCTTTTCCAAGTACATTCATGAAACTGACTTGTGTTGCAGGCAGTTACATGTCAAAAGATATTCACTCAGCCATCATTCTCTGTCCTTTGCTATCTTCAGCATCAAAGCCAAGCACAATAACTTAATCACTCAGCTCTCAAGTTTGTCGAAGTGCGACTGCAACGAAGAGAAGCACACCAACTCTTTTGACGTGATTTGGCCATTCCAGTTCAAGAGTCCTTGCTACGCAAAACGGCCATCTACACTTGTCTCCAAAGAAAGAAAATCAACCCACGTCTCGGAAAAAAGGTAACGAAGCCGAGAATAAGGATCAAGATTTACCAAAGCACCAAAGTCAATTAGGATTCTGACCCTTCGTTCTTGCTCGGAAGTGCTATTCAAGCATTGAAAAAGGTCATCCAAAAGTCATCCTTTCTCGATCCTCATTCAGAGCCGAGTAAGTAGCCTATGATCATTATATTCAATTCCTCCATTCTCTATCTATATAAAAAGTTACCAAGGACTAACTAGTCTCCTTTAGAGATAAAACTATTTCCGTCCCGCTCAAACATTACCCGGCGTTATGGCAGACTCGGTGACAAGACTTTTACTGGAGAGCCCGGTGAAACGAGTAATCCCTGTATTCCTGGTGGGCAAGGCTATAATCGACTATGTGGTTGAAGCAAGCATGCTCATGGATGGTACAAAAGGGGCTATGAGATCGAGAGCGCGAGCGGTGATAGTCCTGGCAGCAAAGCAACTTTCAACTTGGGTGGAAGGGTCAAGCCGATTGGGAAAGCGTTGGTGAGGAGTGAAGTGCAAGGTGGTTTGATGAGAAACTGTGGACGTCTTTGGGCGGATGATCGTACTGCTCAATAGGAGTAAGGGTGAGTAGCTGACTAGCGTTCGTGTTTTCACAATCGCTCAGACATATCATCAGGCGTTACTCTCTCAGTGTGCACCGAAAGGAGTTGCTCAGGGCTCGGATCGCGTACTAGAGAAGGCAAGGAGTTCTTAAAGGGCATGTGACGATGATGATGGCCTAAAGAGGCCTTTGACGTAACCATATAACATGCAATATTTATATTCCATTCAAATTTGTTTATGCACCATGTCATAAAAGTGGCATGTGGACATACGCTTTAGAACAAGGCAACAGCACCGGCGACGACGACGGCAACACCAGCAGCGAGAGAACCAGGATCGTCGTTCTTGAGGGCACCACCATTGACAGAGGTGGGACTAGACTAGGCTTCAGTGGCGAGAGGTATGTCTGCGAACAGGGTATTGACACCAGTCATGCCCTTGAGCGTAAACTTGGCCGAATAGGACGTGTGGGCGGCGTTAGGGGTCCTGAATCGGATAAAGTAGGCTGACCCATTAGGGCCGATAGATGGGTTAACAGTGAAGGTCAAATGACTGGCCGCCGCAACGTTTACAGTGGCAATGGACTGCATCAGGCTCTGCTCAATGAAACATAGTTAGTAACCACAAGTTCCAAGCGAATAAAACAGTATTAGAATGAGAAAGAATGAAAGGAAAGTAGAAGCTGCAGAGTGGGAAGGGTCAAAGCCCGCGGTCGGAGGGCGGATTGGGAAACTCTGGTAGTGCCTAGAGAACGGCTGGGAGATCGACAAATAGACTAACCTGGCCGTTACCAGTATCATAATAGAGAGCGACGACCATGTTTTGGAGCGTGGCGAGGCTGGGGCTGGTCCCATCATCCGTCCAGGAGATTGTGCACGATTGGCCACCTGTGCATACGGTACTGGAGACCGGAGCAGTGACCTGTGGTAAAGACGAGTGCAAGAAAGAGTAGTTAATGTCAGAATATGCAGAAGGGGACTTGAAAGGGCACACGTACAAACAAGTTAGCAAGAGCTGGGGAGGCAGTGACGGCAAGAGCAGCCACAATGGTCTTGAAGAGAGAAGGCATGGTGATAGATGATAAAACAAAAGAGATACTGTGCGATGCAAACAGTTGAAGTCTTGAAGAGTGATTTCCAGCGAGCTGAAGGAGCAGCTTTATACGCTCGTGGATGCCGAGGACAATATTGAGACCAAGCCACAGCGGATGCGCGCTAGATGGAGGTTAACAAGGCTATCCCAGTTACCATCATAAAAACACGTCCAGAGATGATAGATTCACGGTGTTAGAGTGCAAGTGTAATATTTGGCTGGTCTTGGAGGACCTAGCCCGTTGGTGTCGGTGTCAAGTTAGTGCCCGTTGTCGGCAATCGAGATTCAGTTTGTTCACGACTCCCTCCACCTTTGGTTTACGGTCAGGGATGACCCAGCCGACGAATTTCAAAGTTCATATTAGCCTCATATGACTTTTCCTTGTCTCCGTCTCTGGTCCATTCGGCCACAATACCATTGACGGTACCCTTCAAGCGGAGCGAGTTTATCGCTCGTTTTTGTTGGAATGAGGACGACTGGGCCGGGTGAGAGAATAACCAGTGATATTGGAAGCGTACCTAGGCCGGATGAGACAGAGAACAACCAGTGGATGCGAGTTTGCTGCCACCCATCCAATGCTATGTACAGAACGCTAGCCATAATAGAGGCATGAATCAACAGTTCTCCCATATTACAGTCTTTTTGGTTCAACACCCTCAGCTAGCTGGCTCGCCCGCAATCACGTTTACCTTGGTACATAATAACCGCTTTATTGTCACTGAATCGTTTATACAGTCTCTAGCGCGCATCAAGGGCGGTTCAGTTACAGGCACACGACCAGTTCCAAAAAGTTATTAGAAGCGCTAAGTACAACTACTCCTGAGTTCTATCGATTGGCTCACATGCTGTTCATTCTTCTGATGGGGGAAATTTCCGATCGTCAAGTATTCCGCTATACGGAGCTTGATAGCCCGATGCAGATATAGTCCGAGGTCGGTAAATCCTATTTGGGTTGTATATTGGTATCGAAGTCTCTCCTA